TCGAGTCCCACATCGGGCTCCCTGCTCAGCAGGGAGTCTGCTTCTCCCTCTGACCCTCTTCCCTCTCGTGCTCTCTGTCTCTCATTCTCTCTCTCTCAAATAAATAAATAAAATCTTTAAAAAAATAAAAATAAAAAATAAAAAAATAAAAAAAAGATTTACTTATTTACTTATGAGAGTAATACACAAACTATACTAATAAAGAAAAAAACTGTAAAAGCAACAAGACAAAAGAAATCCCTAACCTACAAGTGAAAACCTGTAAGGCTACTGGAGATTTCTCGACAGAAACTTGGCAAGCCAGAAGAGAGTGGCATGATATATTCAAAGTGCTGAATGGGAAAAATCTGCAGCCAAGAATACTTCCCAAACAAAAACTAAAGGAGTTCGTGACCACTAAACCAGGCCTGCAAGAAATATTAAAGTGGACTCTTTGAGTGCAAAGGAGAGACTGAAAGTGACAAAGACAAGAACGGATCAGAGAAAATCTCCAGAAACAACGACAGAACAAGTAATAAAATAGTTATAAATACATATCAATGATTACTTTGAATGAAAATGGACTAAACACTCCAATCAAAAGATATAGGGTGTCAGAATGGATTAAAAAAACAAGACCCAACTATATGCTGCCTACAAGACACTCATTTTAGACCTAAAGACACCTGCAGATTGAAAGTGAGGGGGTGGAGAAACATCACACAAAGAGATGTCAAAGAAAGTCGGAGTAGCAATAGAAAGACAAAGTAGACTTCTAGATTCTTGTATTGTTTTAGTCCTGCTTTGGTATCAGGGTAGTATTAGCCTCATGGAATGACTGAATGTAATACCTCTATTCCATTATTTGTAAGATTTTGATAAAGATTGTTATTATTTTTTAAATTTTTGTGGTGTTCACTAATGAAGCCATATGCCTTAGGTTTCTTTGTGCTGGGAAATGTTTGATTCCTAATTCAACTTTCATTCATGTTATTGGTTTAATAAGATTTTCTACTTCTTAGATTCATGATTCAATCTTGGTAACTTGTGCATTTTTAGAAATTATGTTTTTTTCCTAAGTTATCGGATTTGTTAAAACATAATTATTTATAATAATCTGTTATCACACTATGTATTTCTGTGGTTATCTACTGTATTGTTTCCCTTCCATTTTGGTTCTCATTTTGGTTTCTGAGTCTCCTTTTTTTTCCTTAATGTAATTAAAGCATTGCCAATTTTGTTTATTTTTTTTTGTAAAAACTGGTCATTACTTTCAATGTTATGTTATTGTTTATTATGGTCTCTTATTTATTTCTGATTTTTCCTTGTTATTTCCCTCCTCTACTAAATGTCAGCTGTTTCTTCATCTTCTAGTTCCTTGTGCTATGTTACCTTGAGTTTTTTAATACAGGCATTTATAGCATAAATTTCATTCTAACATCTGTTTTCACTGCCTCCCATAGGTTTTAGAATATTTTCTTTTGTTTTGAGGCATATTTTGATTTGCTGTTTGATTTATTTGGCCCATGGCTTGTGCAGTAATGTGTTGTTTTTTAAATATTAAATATTTAATATTTACATTGCACGTTTTCCAGCTTTATTGTTTATCTTTAGTTCTGTACCATTGTGGCTGGAAAATACACTTGGTATGATTTCAGTCTTCTTAAATTTATAATATTTGTTATGCTTCTTTTTATGTGATTTAACCAGGGGATTCTTCTGTGTGTACTTGAAGAAAATGTGTATTCTATTTTTCTTGGACGGAATGTTTTACATATATCTTTTAAAACCATGCATCCTGAAGTATGTTTCAAATAAGAAATGCTCTTGTTGAAAAAAAAATAACTTTGAGGGTACTCATTTAAAATAAAGCATAACAGAGAGAAGGTGGGGGGGATGGGTGAAATAGGTGAAGGGGATTAAGAGTACACTTGTCATGATGAGCACCTGAGTAACAATGTATAGAATTGTTGAGTCACTATATTGTACACCTGAAACTAATATAACACTGTATGTTAATTATATAGTAATTAAAGTGAAAATCTTAATAAAAAATAAAATTAAAAATAATTTTTTAAAAAAACCCTGCATATAAGAAATATATATATGTATTATATAAATATACATATAGATAAAAACAACAATTCTTTATAAGGAAAAATATCCAGGGACTAAAGAGAGGTATCTGACTGCAGTGTAGTTAGTAACCAGCTGAAATGAGAGGGCTGGACATAGCAAAGAGGATTCAGTCACTAACTAAATCAGGCTGGCTTATAGGAGAGCCATTCATGACACGATACCCAAACTCACCCTGGTCGCCGCTTAATAGCCCTGTGGACAATGGCTCCTCCACCTTGAATCCCAGGCCCAGGGTTTTCTGAGGCAATGGCTGGACCCAGTGATGGTACATCTGATGTCATTTCTATCAGAGAAAAATGGAAATATACATTTAAGAAAGATAGTCCTTTCTTATCATCAACATCATCACCAAGTTAGCTGGAAGAAAGGCTCAGGTAGGGATGAAATCCCAGTAGTTTGCTAGAAAACCCATATGTTCATATCCAGATTGCTTTTCTTGAATTCTTACACTGGTGAAAACATACATTCCCTGTACTTCGTACCCCCCCGCCTTCACAGAGTCTGGAAGAGGGAGTACTATATTCTATCTGCAGCCTTCACTTTTATAAGCTTGTGATAGTGACAGAATGCTAATCTAAAACAAACACACACTCACAAAATCGGTTAATAGATTTTACTCATGCAACAAACATACATAACTTAGATCCTTTTTTTATTTTATTTAGAAAATACAGAAAAGAACCCAAAATAACTGGAATTCTAACCCCACCTAGCAATAACAAAGCAGCACTCTCCTTTCCTCTCCCAAAGTGGTGTCAGTGAAAGCCAACTAAAACAGATTTTTTTTTTTTAAGTTTTATTCATTTATTTGACAGAGAGAGACACAGCGAGAGAGGGAACACAAGCAGGGGGAGCGGGAGAGGGAGAAGCAGGCTTCCCGCTGAGCAGGGAGCCCGATGCGGGGCTCGATCCCAGGACCCTGGGATCATGACCTGAGCCGAAGGCAGACACTTAACGACTGAGCCACCCAGGTGCCCCGTTAAAACAGATATAAATAAGATCCAATATCTGGGACGCCTGGGTGGCTCAGCTGGTTAAGCATCTGCCTTCAGCTCAGGTCATAATCCTAGGGTCCTGGGATCAAGTCCCACATCGGGCTCCTTGCTCAGCAGACAACCTGCTTCTCCCTCTGCCTGCCGCTTCCCCTGCTTGTGTGAGCACTTTCTCTCGCTCTCGATCTCTCATAAATAAAATCTTAAAAAAAAAAAAATCCACTATCACATAATACAAAAATATTCAAACTTCAATTTTAAGAAAGAAAATCACTCATCATACCAAGAACCAAGAAGATCTCAAACTGAATGAAAAATAACGATGATATGACATAAATGTTAGAACTATCTGACAAAAGATTTTAAAGGCAGTCATGATAAAAATACTACAACAATTATTAACACAGTTGAAATAAATAAACTGAAAACCTCAGCAAAGAAACAGTCTCAACAAAGAAATAGGATATAAAGAAAAATCAAATAGATATTTTAGAACTGAAAAATAACTGAAATAAAAAGTTAAATGGGTTGATTCAACAGCATAAGAGAGAACAAAGAGAAGAATCAGTGAAATGGAAGACAGAACACTAGAAATTATCCATTAGAGTACTGGGAAAGAGAAGAGAAAAGAGGGCAAAGTTGAAAAATAATGTCTAAAAATTTCCCAAATTTGACAAGAGATGTAACCCACAGATTGAAGAAGTTGAGTAAACCCCAAAAGGATAAATCTAAAGAAATGCATTCTAACACACATCACAATTAAACTTCTAAAAACTAAAGATAAAGTTTTGGAAGTAGCCAGAGAAAAATTACAACTTACCTACAGAAGAAAAATAATTCAAACAACAGCAGATTTTTCACCTGAAACCATGGAGGCAAAAAGACCATGGCACAATATCCTTTAAGTTGTAGGGAAAAAAGAACTGTCAACCCAGAATCCTACAACCAGTGAACATATCATTCAGGAGTGAAGGGGAAATCAACACACTCTCTGATGATGTAAAACTAAGGAGAACTTGCAACCAACAGACCTATCCTTAAAAAATGACTAAACAAAATTCTCCAAACAGGGAAGAAATTATAAAACAAGGAATTTTGGAACATATCAAGAAATAAAAAAGAACACAGTATGCAGAAATATGGGTAAAATCCATATGCTTTCCTTCTCCTTTTGAGTTTTCTTAATTACATTTGGTGGTTGAAGCAAAAAATACAACACTGTCTGATATGTTTCTGAATGAATATAGAGGAAATATTTATCATAATTAAATTACGAATGGGGATACTAAAGGGAGGCAGGATGTTAACACTTAAAGTGGTAAAATGACACCACCCATAGACTGTGATGTTATAATGTATAATGCAATACCCACTCCAGCAATTACCAGAAAAGCTATACAAGGAGATACACCAGCAAACATTGCATATAAATCAAAATGCAATTCTTTTTAAGATTTTACTTTTATTTATTTTTTTAAAGTTTATATATATTTTTTGGTAATCCCTACACCCAATATGGGGCTCAAACCCACAACCCCAAGATCAAGAGTCACATACTCTTCCAACTGAGCCAGCCAGGCGCTCCTCAAAATAGAATTCTAAAAAATGTTCAAATAACCTACAGGAAGGCAAAGAAAAAAATAGAGAAACAGAAATCCAAACAAATGAAAAAGAAAACAGCAGACTTAAGCCCTAACATACCAATTTTATTAAATGTAAATGGTCTAAATATACCAATTAGTAAAAAGAGATTAGCAGAACAAACAAAAAAACATGACCCAGTCTATAAGAAATGCTTCAAAAAAAAAAAAAAGTTGCTTCAAATGTAACAGTACAGACAGGCTGAAAGTAAAAGGATGAAAAAAGATATATCATATACTGATCAAAGGAAAGCAAAAGTAGCTGTATTAATAATAATCAAGTAAACTCCAAAGCAAATAAAATGACCAGAGACAAAGCACATTATATAATATTCAAGCCACCAAGAAGACATTTGGCAGCTATGCACCAAACAAGAGCGCTGCAAAATCTGTTAAACAAAAACTGATAAAACAGAAAGGAGAAAATAATTATAGCTGGAGACTTCAACACCCCTCATTCAACGGACAGAACAATTAGAAAATCAGCAAAGATATAAGAAATCTCAATGACACCCTCAACCAACAGGATCTAATTAACATTTACTCAAACACCCTACCCACAATAGCAGGTACACATTCTTTTCAAGTGTCCCAGAATATAAACCAAGATAGGATATATCCCGGGCCATTAAGCCTCAACAAATTTAAGAATGAAATCATAGATTACGTTCTCCAACTACAGTGGAATTAATCTAGAACTCAGTAAGATAACAGGAAAATCACCATACACTTGGGACACTAAATGACACATTTCTAAATAATCAATGAGTCAAAAAAGAAGTCTCAAATAAAATTAAAAATACACAGAACTAAAATGCAAATTAAAATACAAGATAGTAAAATTTGTTGGACACAGCAAAAGCTGTACTCAGAGAAAATTTTATAGCACTAAAATGCTTACACTGGAAAAGAGGAAAAGTCAAGTCAATCATCAAAAGCTTCCACTTCAAAATAAACCCAAAGCAAGCAAAAGGAAGGAACAGACAACGTAAACCAATGAATTTGAAAACAGAAAAATACTTTAAAAAAAAAAATCAAAAGCTGGTTCTTTAAATAGATCCCAAAAATGGACATGCCCTAGCAAACAAAAAACTACCAATATCAGAAATGAAAAGAGAGGGGAAAAAAAAAAAAAAAACCCGAAAAGACACTATCACCACAGACCTCAAAGAAATGAGAGAGAGGTGGTAATACTAGGAATAACTAACAAACATAAATTTGACAACTTAGACAAAATGGAACAATTCCTTGAAAAAATATAGACCCAATACAAAACAGATGACTTGAATGACCCCATAAATATTAGGAAATTGAATCCATAATTTAAAAGCTCTCGGGGCGCCGGGGTGGCTCAGTCGTTAAGCATCTGCCTTCGGCTTAGGTCATGATCCCAGGGTCCTGGGATCAAGCCCCACATCAGGCTCCCTGCTCAGCGGGAAGCCTTGCTTCTCCCTCTCCCACTCCCCCTGCTTGTGTTCCCTCTCTCGCTGTCTCTCTCTCTGTCAAATAAATAAATAAAATCTTTAAAAAATTTAAAAAAAAAATAAAAGCTCTCAAAAAAGAAATCTCCAGGTCTAGATGGAGAATTCTACCAAACATTTAAAAAATTAGTATCAGTTCTACACAATCGCCTCCAGAAACTGGTTGAGAAAGGGGACACTTACCCAATTCCTCTTACGAAGCTAGAATTACCCTAATATCAAAACCAGACAAAATCAGTACAAAAACAAAGCAAACAAACTGGCAAAAAAAACTAGAGATCAATATTCCTCATGAAAACAGAATAAAAATTCTTAATATTAGCAAATAAAATTCAGCAATATGGAAAAGAATTATATAACACGACCAAATGTGATTTACTCCAGGGAAGCAAACTGGCTCAATATTTAATAATCAACATAATCCACCATATTAATAAGATAAAGAAGAAAAATAACAGATGATCATATCAACTTATGCAAGAAATCATTTGATAAAATCCAACACTCACTCCTAATTAAAAAATCAGAAAAATAAAAATAGAGGGAAATGTCTTCAATTTGAAAAAAGAATCTACCCCTCCAAAAACCCCAAAACAAAAAAAGGAAGGAAGGAAAGAAGGAAGGAAGGAAGAAAGAAAAAGAAAAGGCCTAAAGCTAATATACTTAATTGTGAAAGACAATCCTTTTATGATTGGGAACTAAACAAGAATGTTCCCTCTTATCATTTATTCAAACATACTGGGAAACCCTAGCCAGTGCAAAAAATGCAAGAAAAGGAAACAAAAGGCATAAAGATCAAAAAGAAGAAATAAAACTATCCCCATTCACAGATGGCATGTCTTTGTAGAAAATTCTAAGGAATCTAACAAAAAAACTCAGAGCAAGTAAGTGAATCCAGTAAAATCACAGGATACAAGATAAGTATACAAGAATAAATTGCTTCTATACATTAGGAACTAATAGACACCAAAATTAAAAATACAAAGCTATCTACAGGGATGCCTAGGTGGCTCAGTCGGTTAAGCGGCCAACTCTTAGTTTTGACTCAGATCATGATCTCAAGGTCCTGGGATCAAGCTCTGCATCAGGCTCCGCACTCAGCAGGGAATCTGCTTAAGGATTCTCTCCCTCCTTTCCTCCTCCCACCGCTCGCACTTGCTCTTTCTCTAA